TGTGCTAGTATGAAGGGGGAATTTGGACCCAGATACACACAGCCAGAAGGCAGTGTAAGCGTGGAGCTGGGCTCGTCACACAGGCCAAGGAACCACCAGAATCTGGGGCCGGAAGCCAGGCCCGCAATGGCACCTTCCTTGTAGCCTGCAGATCTCCTGCCTGCTGCAGGGCAGGGTCTGTGACCTGTGGGAGGCGTGATACTAATTCTCTGTCAGCCTTCAGACTGTACTGAAGTTAGGGTTGCAAAGCGCTGCGCTCTACACAAAAATGTTCAATGCAATTTAGCACATTCTCAAAAAATGAAGTAGAAACATTCAGCTTTGTTGAGTAATTAGAAGATCACTATAGCAGGCCTCTGATAACAGCCCAAGCAGGGTAGGTAAGGAGGAACATGTGCAAAGGCGAATGTTGGCTGAAATACAGAAATGATTTGTGTATCGTGTTGTAAGACCTAAGGCCTTACTGCATTCCAAGGAGCTCAAAAGCCACCGAGGGCTTTCAAAATGTAAGACCAAGGGCCTTACTACCACTCCGAGGAGCTTGATTCTACCGCTCCGAAGAGCTCGACTTTACCGCTCCAAATCTCCACAGCCACGGGATTCACCCGGGAACACAACAGACACGGTGGAAAGGGACCTTTATTAGTCTGGCCAGATGGCACTCCCAGAGCCAAGTAGCTCAGAGAGGCACCAGCTGAGGGGCTGAGGTCCTTTTTATAAGGGGACAGGCAGGGTGGGGGTCTATACTCAAGATGCTTACAGAATGTCCCAAGGTTTTCAAAACATTCCCTCTGGGCAGACAAGGAGTGAAACAATCTTTATCTATTTACCCAGAATTACTAAATGTTCACCTGTTAATTTACATTAATCACAGCTGAGACTAGGATTTAAGATGACAAAGTTATGCAGTCCCACAGTGTAAGGACATAGTTTGTGTTTATCTTTAAAAAATGTCCTCAACTGTGCCTATAGCAATGATGTTGGGGCCAATTCTGAAACTGTATGTATATAGTTTTCTGCATCCAGTCAAATATTGATGAAATATACAGCAAGTCTGATATCACAACCACTCTCATCTGCACGGTGGGCTTACTGACAAAATGCTGTGTAAGCAGCTAAATTAAATTCACAGGTATTTAAGATTCACTAGAAGAAATACAACACCTGCCTTAATAGATACTGTACGAAAGTGACTATTTTAGAAAAAGTGGTCAGCTGGGCGGGGTAGAATGTGCCTGTAATCTCAGCACTCTGGGAGGCTGAGACAGGACAATTGCAAGTTTGAGCCCAGCTTGGATAACTTAGTGACTTACTGAGACTGTCTCAAATAAAAATATTTTAAAAGAGGTGCTAGTCAGGGATTTAGCTCAGTGGTTCTCACCGCCTGCCTCGCAAGCTCAACGTCCCGAATTGGATTCACAGTACAAGCAAAACAAAACAAAACAAAACAAACAAACAGAATATACAACATGATACACAAATCATAAAAAGAAGGGCTGACGATGTAGCTTGGTACAATGGTCCTGGGTTCAATCCTGAGTACTGAGAAAAAAATAAAATTGAGATATTTATGACATTTCTCTGATAATTTATTACACGTGATCACATTAAAATGTCTCAACATGAAACTTAAAACAAGTTAATTTTTGAATCTCAATATTGTTACAGAGTACGTTGACAATTTCATTTGCTACTATGTTAGAAGAGACAAAGTTTTCTGAATTAGAATTAGTTTTTAAAAACTCAGAAATATAATGATTCAAGAAAAATTTGTCTAAATTGGCTTTGTTGTCAGTAGAACACAAATCCTGAGAAAATCCTTAACAATATCATTAGTGTGTGCTGAAATAAAGACAAGAAAATGCTTTTATGGAAGAAATGTATACTAATTTAGGAATCATCTTTAGAACGCACTCTAACTTTGGTAACTGAACTGAATACATTCCATTTAAATTCAGCTTTTCTTTAGCCCGACACGGTGGTGCATGCCCGTGATCCCACACGTGGGAGGCTGAGGCAGGAGGATCACTGTGAGTTTGAGACCAGCCTGGGCTACACAGTGAGTTCCAGGTCAGTCTCAACTACATAGTGAGACCCTGTCTCAAAAACAAACAAACAACAACAAAAAAATTCAGCTTTCTTTGCCATTATGCTGACTTCCAGTCCATTAAAGCATTAAAGATATTTTTTTTAATTTTGCATTATGAAGGTATATGGTCCAAGGAAAGACTAGAGAGCCCATTCTCCCAGTTTGTCAGCTTCATGGGTCTCTTTAAAGTATGTTGGTATGCGATATGTGGGCCTCCCTTTGCCTTCTGGAATCTGGCTCAGGAAGGATGAGTAGATTCAACCTCCCTGTCCTTCTGGAGAGAGTAAAAATACCTTTTCCACAGGGTAATTAAAACCTCCTATTTGAGACCCTCAGGAAGCCCACTGATGGAAGCTGACTGGGACCAGTTCAACTGTTTGGCTGGCCCACAACAGCCACGTACTGGAGTTGCCATGACATCACGTACTTCAGTTACCATGACAGTCACATACTACAGTTACCACAGCTTCACGTAGTTGCTGACTTTGGAAGCTGAGATCATGTAAGTCCACAAGACTGTTCAAATGTTTGCAATGGGCTGTGATTTAGTGGATGTCTTGGTCTCATGCCATTTCCATAAACACAGCACAAGAGGAAGGAAAGGCTACTGCACTCGGTGTGAAGGGTGTGACTTGTGCCTCCGGAGAAGTGCATGGGGCCGCAGTCTTCTCAAGCCTTGCAAGGGCCGACTGCGGGAAATAGTGGGGGTTCTTGCCTCTTCTTCTTTCTTGGGCTGTGGCTGGAGTTTTCTGATTCCAAAGGCAGAGGACTGAGGCCCAGAATTTGGAATAGAAGGTAAGGATTCTGAGGCCCGCCCCTTAGCCACTGCACAATCACACACAAGTGCAGTTCAGTGCAGGACATTAATTTTGTCACTGTTTGTGAGCAAGTAAGGAACTGCTCTGCACAAGCTGCGAAGGACTGTGCTCTTGCTGTCTGGCATTTTTGCTGAATGGTAAGGGTGTCTCCTGCCTGAGCCACGGGGGAAGGTGCTGGGCGGGGGTGAGGGACCCACAGGAAGGCCTTCCTGAGTTATAGTATACGGAAGGAGCGGAGACGTTTTGCAACACAACACGGAGCAGCTTCCTGGGCCACGTGTCTTACGCGGAGGCCAAGTCCTCCAGGGCTGTCTGTGCACTGTCCACCCCTGCCTAGCCAGTCACAGTGGCCCGTGGAGGAGGGTGCTCTTGGGCTCGCTTGTTGAATCCTGGCTCAGATTTGCCAGGAGCAGCTGCTGGTCATTCAGGCAGCACTCATCTCTGAGTAGTGTGTGAGGTTATCCATCTGACTTTCATAGTCAGGGAATGAAATGAATGGCTTTGGAAGGGAAATAGAGAGCAAGAAAATGGCTACAGGCAGTGGTAAAGAGGGGCAGGTATCTGTGGTCTTCAATGGAAGAAAGAGGAACACGCTTTATAAAAGATGAGGGAACCACTCTGAATTGGTTAGTATTATAAAATATTTCTGGGGGAAGTGCTTGCAACGACAACTGGCTAAAACGGAAGTCTGGAAGCCCCGTAGAAGGCGGGCAGCGGGAAGGAAGAGGCCGTTCAGTCGTGAAGCACCTGGGCTTCAAAGATTTCTGAGCGTGGAGGAGGCGTAGACCGGATATCATCAAGTTAACTAAGGAATAACGCTCCGGAAAGCCTCGAGTTTTATGAGTGCCCATGCGGCTCCAGGGGGAGTGCAGGCGGTAGACACAAGACATTCACAGGTCGGAACGTTCTTTCTTTTTCTTTTGGTACCGGGGATCAAACTCAGGCCGCTGTGCTTACAAAGCAGGTGGCGGAACCACTGAGCTGAATTCCGGGCCCATAGTCTGCATTTCTTAATTTAAAAGATCTGGTTACCAATAACCACTTTGCTCAGGCGGGAGAATCACATGAAGTGGCACGTGGAAGTCCCAAATATGTGTTAATTATCAAGGATCCGGTTTTCTTTAGTTCCTTCTTTCCTGGAGTTGGGGAAGTAACTTTGTAATGAAATTGCTCGCAGAATCTGCTTCTTCTTCTCAAAATTACTACGTATTAGAAACAAGGCAGAAAAAAGAAAAAAGAAACGAGGTAGAGAGAATTTCAGACCCTCCTGCCCTGTCGCTGTGGACCACCGTGAAGTAGACCTGCCCAAGGCCTCCGATATGCCCTGTGTGCTATCTCAGGTATCACGGCTCAGGACCCCAGTTCTTTGACATTGTGCTTTAACTTAAGGATTTTTTTTCCATCAATAGAAATGCAAATAATTCTGTTGAGTAGATAATTTAACTGCAGGGGACAGATTATTAGTGTCAGGTGAAAAAAGCTGAAAACCAAGACCAGACCAGAACCACAAAGCTTTACTGTATGGATGATGAACCGGGCTATCTCCGATCAAAGGAGAGTGATATGGCCCAAAAGAGAGCTGCTTTTATAGGACTGAGGTGGGGCTTATAGGAGCTGGGGTGGAGTTAAGTGAGGTGGTATTAAGGGATTGGAGGAGCCTGTGACATCACTAGAAGGGGCTTGTGACATCACTGGTTACTTGAGGTAGCAAGTATCTGGTTACTTTTTGTCAGGAGAAAGGCATCATGGGAAGAAGAAGGCTGTCCTTTGTTAGGTGGGAGAAGCCATCTTTTTAGGTGAGAAGCAGGGCATTATGGGAAGGGGAGTAACGGCCATCTTAAGGCGAGGGAAATTAACAGTTTTGTCTAACCTAGAAATTTTATTTATATTTTCTTGAATCTATAAATTCTCAGTCTCTTGAATGCCTTTGGATAATGTTTTCGGTCCCTTCTGATTCCCTCTTAAATCAGTTAAACTATTCTTTCTATATTGTATATGAAGCACATTTTAAACTTTTGAAAAGCATATTTTGGAAGGCCTGACACATCTATCTTTTGCTGCAATTGCTGGAATACACCAGGCACTCAACTTACCTTGGAGTGACTGAAGAAATTAAGGCAGAACTCCAAGAGAAGGCTGAGCAAGCCAGGGCCTGCCAGCTCTGGGGCCCCCAGGTCTCTGACGTCTTCCTCATGCAGGCCCAGCCTGCGCACTCCCACCGCGAACACAGGCATGGCTCATCCTCAGTCGTCCTCGTCACTTCCTGTGGGAGAGGCTGGGAGCGGGGG